AAGTATTGTTAAATGTAAATTCGACCCTCAGTTCGCTTGAAAGATTGGGATTAACCATGATTTAAGGACACCGATGAGTCCATTGGTCCAAGCGACCGCGAGCAGCGGGACAATTCAGGCGAGAACATTCATTGCCATACGCCTGTCCACTAAAGGCAACCCGGAGTATTGCAAGAAGCATTGAGGAAGATCGGGACATCTCGGCCTTGACAAATCTAGGATAGAGGTTGATAGAATAAATTTGCCAGTCCAACTGCAATTACTATGGCGCTGGCATATGAGAGGCGCAAGGATACTTTGGCAGTGGTTTCATTGTAAATCGTTTGGTTCCTTTTGTGGACGCTATAATCGAAAATGAACGCATTTCAAGCTTTGGTAGAAGAAACAGAATACTTGAACAAACTAACTTTTGAAGAAGTATGTCAGATCGATCATATTCGCACCATCAGTGAACTGACTGTACGCACGGGTAAGTATCATTACTGATTTTTATGGCAATTGTAGATTATAAGAAGGGTTCATCGTAGAAATGAGTAAGCTTACGAATTGCTCTTCGAAAAGATGTTTTGTATTTATTGCTCTATTTCGAAGACCTACAAAATGGTCAGCTGTAAAGGTCATTGCAATTAGACTCAATCAAAGCTCAAGGCCGGGTGGCAGTCAAGATGAACGATAGCTTGCGCCATCCGCAAGCTGCCAAGCGTAGGTGCTGCACAAGTTGTCCCGCCCCTATAGTGAAAGCGCACACTACGTAAAGGTAGTTCGTTGCGCTCCGTCGACAGAACATGGCATGATCGACTTTGTCGTTTTGTTTTTTGAACTACTTCTTTCAAATTTTCGATTTGCCGAGATTTATATGAAATTGAGGGCAACTGACGTGCTGGATCCAAAATCAGGACTGTTTCGCTCAATTATTTCAGTAAAGTTACGCGTATAATTTATCGAGAAAATGGAAGATTTAATTTGAAGACCTAATGTTTTCACCATATCTTGTCTAGATACTAATTTCCGTATCTTTAAATTTTTCTCTGCAGAATTTTAGCATGAAAATGCAAATATATTGGCAAATTTCTAGGAAATTAAAAAATAGCTGTGATCGGTGTACTCAAGCATCTCCCGTGTTGATCAATTTACTGAGAAAAGGTGTATTCAGCTCATTCATGCACCTAT